AGCGGTTTGCCCTTGCCTGCTTCCTAGGGCTGAGAGAGTGCAACTGGCCCAAGGTCACCCAGCTGGCTTCGTGCCTAAGGCAGGAGCAGAACTCACCATTTCCTGGTTTCTGGCCTGGTGTCTTAACCACTACACCAACCTGGTTTCTCATTCAAACTGTGCACAGTCCTATTAGACATCATTTGCTATCCCATTCAGCACAGATCCAACCTTATATTACGACTGACTGCGCTACTAACCAGGAACATCCCTGTCTTGTCAGGATGCTCAGCAGTAAATAGAGTGAATGGTCTTTGGGCAGACAATGGCATTGGGAATGAGAGAAGCTTAAGTAATTAAAAATAGCTCACAGGAATTCAATATGCATATTTATGGGAAGAGTCAATAGAGGAAAAATGTACTTCCATATATTTTTGGCTGTAAATGCCAAGAAGAGATTAATTAATCATGGCAGTAAAACTGAATCTATAAACAAAAGCAATAGGAAGAAATTAAGGGAGGAGATGGCATCTTTTAGCTTTCAGGATAAAAATAAAAGACTTCATTTTTGATTAGTGTAATTGTATAATGGAACTGTAACAGTGGAGCTAAGACTGAGATTACTGGAGCTACAGTTCAACTGTTTCTGGAAGGGGTCATATTGGGAAAGACTGAGCTAAGAGATTTTAAGTCATCAGACCCTAAGGTTAAGTTTACTGCAGGCCCTATCTGATAGGGAATTACATTTGGCAGGTCCCAGGAGGCGGGCCTTCTCTGCCATGGCGACCACCTTGTGGAATCTTCTCTCCCCAGAAGTGAGATTAGCTCCATCCCTCTCAACATTCCATAGGTCCCTCAATACCTGGCTATGTATCAGACCTGGAGGTCCCAGGGGACTGGGGAGATTTTGTGATGGCTCCCTTACTACAGTTAACATTATCCTCTCCTGTTGTGTGTGTGTTTTTATCATTATTTTTAATTGTGACTGTTTTTATGTATTTATTGTTTTTAATTAAGTGTTGTACGCCACCCAGAGTCACTTTTATGTGAGATGGGCAGCTATATAAATATGATAAATAAATAAAAATAAATAAACAAGTTTGTATCCTCTAAACCCTGGGCAAATGGCTTGAAATATACTAAAAGATGCTGCATTGGAGAGCCACTGTTATTGCCACACCAGGAGAAATTAGGAATATTGGTGAATACCCTGAAATCCCACCTGCATGCAGCAGCCAAAAATCAAAATTGTAAAATAGAGAGGGGTTTCATGGTTTGATCAAGAATACAGAAGTGCAAAAGGAGAGCTTGCCATATTCATCAGAAGAACTATGATATTTTATCCTATCAAGAAATCATCAATGTTAGTGGTTAAATGTCATAAACATCCAATTAAGAAGGAAAAACTTCAGTGCTCCTCATATCTCTGATATGAATTAGGTTCCTGCATTAATCACAATAAAACTAGATTCTTGGAATTAGTCTCTGAGAGTTCTAAGGAAGTAAAAGTACTGATCACTACTTATATAATCTCTTCTGCTGGGGTGATTCACTTCCAGAAAATCTTTGTTGAGCAGGAAGGGCAAATACAGGGGCAGGAGGAAATGGAGAAAATTGTAAAACTAGCTCCAAAGTGCCTGGATAGCAGTGCAATAACAAGTGAATTCATTTAAATATACAGGTATATCCTTCTCTCAGACACTGACCTGGAACTTAAACATAGCTATGGACTCCTCTAATTCTGAGCCTACAGAGTAAAGCCTAGCAGACTGTCAGCTGTAGTTGGGAAGTCTGCAGGCTGTCAGCCACCTGTGAGCGATGAGTCAGACCCAGCATAGGTGACTGTTGATTCTGATAGCAAGGATTTGGATCCTGACCTTGGCAGAGAACCAAGCCCTGAAACACACTGCCAGCTAAAGAGAGCTGAGCATTGGAGATACATGACTCCTCAAGAGGAAAGGGCATCAATTCACCTAAGGAGACAAAGCCAGGAACTCTGGCTATATAAGGGTGGCCTCCAGGCCCTCTCCCTTTGTTGTAAGCAACTCTCCTGCTTTTTAGCCTACTTTTCTGTGTCTTTGGTTTCCATGATTCTCTTGTTCCTTGCCCTCTGGACAGACCTCCAGCTTGAACTTGGACCAGCTTCTGTCACCAGCACTAAATCCATTACTTGTTTTTCAGACAACTCAGTTTCCTGCCTTGAGACTATATCCAGCCCATATCCAATGTTATCTAAGCAAGAACTGTTTACTGCTCTAAACAGACCTCTCTTGGATTTATGACTCCTTGGGAGAGTTTATCTCTCCTCAGCTACTATGAGTAATTTACAACAAGGCAATTAAAGATCACAGCCTTGTAAATTGCCTGCCTGCCTGCTTTCCGTTAAAGCTTTGCATAGGACACACAAAGTGAATGCTAAGTTGACAGCAATGAGATCTAAAGTCCCCTCTTCCTCCTCACCTTGTTCACCCCAAACTAAAAATTTTGAACTGATATGGAGTAAATTTGTAGAACAAACTTAGCTCTTTCATCAAGTACTCCTGCCTTGTTGAGAATGGAAGTGGGCCTGCCTTTGATCAATGTAAGAGGGTGAAGTCTGTCTTTCTGTTCTTTAAAAGGATAGTTAATACCCCAGATTCTTATTTGGCCAGACAGTGCTTGCAGGAACAGTTTGAAGCAGCACATTGGGCCCAGTCCTGTTCACAGTATTTTAACATGTATTCCTTAACTGTGGAATTCCAGGTTTTAAGGGTAAACTAAAGGACTATTTGTTGCAATGGACAATTTTAAAAACTGGAGCACCATCTTTAATATAGGGTTGTCCTAATGATTCTGGCTGATTAAATTATATAGTGTAATGTCTGTTTATCTCTAGGCCTTAACACATCCAGAACTCCACTCTATGCCATCGGTAGATCTGGATGGAAGATATAGGGGAGTAACAACAGCTAAATGTTTGTGCATTGTGGTGCTCTACAGATGGAAGATCTAATTTATGATAGTCTGATTTGCAACCTGTACATAGCACCCAGAACCTGCTTTACTTATCCTTTACTGATGCAGTGAAGCTAGAGCTCATACAGTGAAATGATTTGCTTCTTGCTGGCAGACACAGGTCCATAAGTAACTTAGCAAATAGTGATATATGCAGTCACAGCAAGGAAGCATACAGTAGGAGCAGTGGCAGCGATGGCAGTCAGCTGTGAAGGCAATGATTTTTTAAAACATAGTATTGTTGTATTGGTTTATATTTTATCTGCTGCTGACAGTTAAACTTTAAGAATCTTGTGTGTAGTTGGAGTTCTGTCTGTCCAATACTTGGTTGGACAATTGTTTTGCTTATGTTTTTGATAAGTGATGTGGTATTGCTAAAACCATATGTTTGCAATAAAGTCATTTACTTACAATTGGATATCTGGGAAATAGTCATATTAAGACCTCTTTTGAGAAAAGCAATCTAGAAACTGAGAATGAGAAACAGCTAGTGCAAAGACTAGGCATGTTCCATTTTTACATTTTGCCTAAAGCATAAAATGATATAAAGAATGTGAATCCTGTACAAGTATTTTGTGAAATGTTTCCTGTGGGAGCATATACTGTATATATCCCAAATCAATAAAAATGGAGGCTTTAAAAGACTTGGACCAAGGGGGGAAATATCCCCCTAGACAGCTATACACATATACACCTATGCACAGCACAAGTGAATATGATCATATCTTTTCATGATCAATTGCAACAAGTCATTGTTAAGATTAGCATCACGTATAGCAAATTATAGCAGCCCAGCGTGGAAGCTGCAAAAATAGCACATAGTGGCTCTTCAGAAAAGCCCATAGAAAATGAATGATTTACAAATGCATTCTAGCCAAGCACTCTTAAAAAGGAAGATTGGGTTTAGAAGTACCCACAGGAGCCAAACCTAAGCAGGAATATAAGCATCCATCTATCACAGGCATACCAGTTCTCTTTAGCTGTTAATAATTCCAAATAGTATAATCTCTAATGTATGGATTTAAATTTGATCTGTTCAGTTCTGTCAACGTGACCGAAGTATTCAGAAACTGTTCAGGATTGAAATGGCACTTTCATGCCATAGCAAACATAGGGCTCAATATCATCAGCAAATCATCTCACCCCCAAAATTTTGATGAGACCCAGTTTGGTGTAGTGGTTCAGGCACCCAGCTAGAAACTGGGAGATGGTGAGTTCTAGTCCCACCTTAGGCACAAAGCCAGCTGGGTGACCCTGTGCCAGTCACTCCCTCTCAGCCCTAGGAAGCAGGCAAAGGCAAACCACTTCTGAAATCTTGCCAGGAAAACTGCAGGGACTTGCCCAGGCAGTCACCAGGAGTCAAGACTGACTCAAAGACACTGAATAAAAAAAATAAAAAATTGATAGTTTTAACTGCAGGTTAAATAATGTTGGTATTAAATAACATAGATTATTATCTATAATGATCTCTTTGGGACTCCATTACACATGTTAAGTGCTACTGGTGTAGCTTAGTCTCTGTAACTGACACTATGTGTGTTTGAACAAACAGAAAGAACTAGCTAATTAGAGACCCATTACCAAACAGTGCCAACATTATATACTTTTTAATCTCAAAAGCTTTGGAGACTCTTGGCAAGGTTGACTTGGAAGTATTTTCCCAATCATCATAGAGATGATATACTCAGAACAGAACTCAGGATGAAAAAGATGGAGGTAAAATGTGTCATCCTCGAAAACTGAAACTGTTTGGCCACCAACCACCTCTTCTCTATGTCTCAAAATGCAAAACTAAAGTATCCTTGTTCCTGTAGCAATTTTCTACAGGAACAATATATCTACCGAACCTGGGATGTTAATGGATTTCAGTCCTCAGATTTCCACATGCTGTTTATTTCATATGCTTGAAAAGGAATCTCATGCCCTGTCTGAGATCACAAAATTCCCAAGTCTGAAAGAAAGCACACTGCAACAGTACAAAGGTATTCTCAGTTACTGTAATATGCACAGATCTTTCACACATTTACCTGTGCTACTTCTTCAAAATCATCATGCCTTTTTTGAAGAGCTCGTGCTCTGTGAAGAGACTTCCCCACTCCAGTGTGTTTACTAAGAAAGGCCTCTCCATGGTTTTCAATCCAGTCCAGGACCTGAACAACAAACAGAGAGAGAGAAAGGAAGAAGAGGAGGAGGAAGGAGGAAGGAGAAGGAGAAGGCGAAACCATTATTATTCATGGCTGTTCAGCACCAAACATTTTACCTTGGACACCACTTTAAACCTACAGTTTCATATACAGTATATTGATTTAATAGTTTGAAAAGTTTGTCTACATTTATGTTCTAGACTCCTCCTCATTGCATGCAATCAAATCCAAACTATATTTTCATTGTTTATTGATAAAGTACCATTATTTAATTTCAACCATCTGCTCATTTCTGGATAACTGGCCCACACTTTGAAAAAAAAATGAACTTGCACTATTTTTACTGGGATTTAAAAAATTGTGTTGAGGAACTGGGTGTGTGTTAGTTGGACATTTAATATATACAGGCTGGAAATTCTAAGCCACATAGCATTATAATACATTTGTTTTTCAAGTAATATCAGAATTCAGTGTACTTCTGTAAGTGTTTAGAAAGAAAACGAAGTGGCAAATCTACCACTGAACTTTAAAAATTGTTTTTTTTTAATTGTTTAAGCTTTCAAATAGTAAAATCATTTTACATCAAAAACATCTTATATATTAACAATTGTAAAAGGTTAATACAAGTATGTCATAAATGCAAATGATTCAAAACAAAATGAATATATAATGCTGTATCAGACAACTAGAGTATGCTATTTTGACAATTATTTCCCAAAAAAGTGACCAAGAACTGGGTGGGTCCAGAGGGAGATGTTCCCCTCTCAGAGAAATGCTTACCTGGGTTCCAAGTTTGGCATCAGCCATGAGCCTGGTGGCTTTGGGTGGCTACTGACAATATCAATACCCCTGCCTGAGCTGCTATACTTCATCACTGGAATAGCAGTATGTGTATGATTTCAACATTCATTGAACAATGTCTTCTAATTACCAATATTAAAATAAATTGAGCCAACTATTTCAAGTGAAATGCTTTTTGGTTATTTGGAGGAGGGGTAGGTAGGCTATAGATATATTTCATGAAACAAGATTTATTTTAAAACTTTTTTAAAAACCCTGCTATGTTTGTTTAAAATATTACTATAATGCCTACTACTTTTATTATATATGTCGAAGTAGTACTAGAACATAGAAAGATATAATAGTTAACTTAATGCTTGGATCCTTTACAACTTTGTTAGGTTATAGATAAGCAAACATTATAAAAGAAACTCCTACCATTTCTCTTTCAGGAAACACTGTCATATTTCAGAGGTAGTGAACCTCAATGGAATAGGCAGTTCCTATGATCTATCTTAGAGCCAGTATTTGAACATGGATTGCAGCATGGATTTGAAAGTTTTTGGATAGCTCTGTTTACATTCTATTGACATTTCCCTTAACATCCCACCCTGTCACCGGGTAGTCTTTTTGCTTTGTATTATATTGCAATCTCAGCAAAACTAGAAGTTGGGAGGCCGTATTACTTGAAAGGGATAAAAATTGTTCAATAAACTCATACTCATGATAAAGAGAAAACCATTACTTCCTGTTTATGTCACGCTCCGCTCTCAGTTTCAAGTTTGAAGGAGGAAGATCAGCTGTGTGAGCTTCTGCCTGAAGATTTAATCTAGATTCCTGGTTCCTGAGCCGAAGCCAGAAGCCATTCAAAGCTTAGAGCTCTTCAGGAACCTACCATTCAGTGCCTATTGCGCCATTACTTCTACCCCATCAAGAAAGGCACCGAGCAGGTGAGGATCATCTATTTCCATACAAACTGCCTGGCTCTTAGAGCAATGGGGTGGACCTCTGGAGAGGTAGCCATAAAAAGAATTAAAGGTACAGAACTCTTGCAGAGCTTATTGAGGGAAAATGCTTCTTTTGGAGCTATCCTTGGTACTGCAGCTCTTTGTTGTATTTTGGGTACTTGGTACACAGGTACACAGGTACAATATTCATAAGAAAATTGCACATCACTTTGTGTACTGTACTTTGAGTGAAAGACACATTCCACATACCCAACAGTTATTAGAAAATGCATTTTTAGCCAAAATAGGGTTTTCCTCTGAATTAATATTTTGGAGTTCAAAAGAAGAGAATATCTGTAGCTCAGAGTTGAACTGAATTCTTGGTGAGTTCTTAGTGAACTGAATTGAACTGAGGATTGAACTGAGTTCTTGGTGCTCTTTGAGCTTGACTGGGTAGTAAAGTCATTTTGGATTTTGGGCAGCTCTTCATAGAGCTTCCCAACTCACAGTGGGGTCACATGCTAGATCTGTTTTTTCTCAGGGCAATGGTGACATGATCTGGAGTTGGGAGATTGTTTTGGTGGCAAAAATATATGGGATCCCACCAAAACTGACAGAGCAAGCTACTCCATATAAGCAGGCAGCAAACCCCACACTTGCTCACACTGATGATGTTGCTTAGTTGGGTAATGAAATGTCTGCAAGCAAACAACCAAGCTCAGAGAGCACGAAGGACTTCATGTTTTGGATTTTCTTGAGAAAAGTGGTGTTTTGAACATATTGTAATTATTTAATTATTTATCTATTTTAATCAATATTTATTCTATTTTTACTGTAAACCACCCAAAGTCACCTCACAGTGAGATAGGCAGTGACAAATTTGAAATATAAATAAATAAATATAAATAAAATCATGAGTAGAATACAGAATCAATATTTAATGCCATTCGTTAGAAACACTGATAATAACATATTTACTGATTTATGATGCATTCTATGGTTTGAGATTATATCAACAGTCCTCATATATTAATTATAATATTGTACAAGATAGCCATTGAAAAGAAAGACCTTCTTACTAATATTTGTATTTTTATTTGATACGCACTTACATCTAAGTGCAGTCCAAGACCTATTCTAACCTCTTCTGTTTGCATGAGAACACATTCTTCATAGCAAATTCTGCAACATTTTCATCAATATTAATATTTAAAGGAATTTGATACACAGTTGTTCTCTTTCAATTACAACCAACAGAGGTGGCTTATGGTATCCAGTCATGAATACATAACTGAGCCAGAGTTATGGACGTTGGCTTTCATTTTTACAAATAACCTTTTTTATTTGAGTGGGGGTCTTTTTATTGGAGGGACGTTCACCTAAAATTTAGGTGAAACTTAATTTTAATGGACTAACTGGGGGAGGATTGTCTGCTACTGAGGAAAGTCTGTAGAACTGGAGAGTAGAGAAACATGGAGGTTTATCTAATTTGCCTTATAACATCCTCACAGAAGTGACACAAATCATATCACTGGTGTCAATGTACATAATTTCTGTGATGTAAACTGCAGTCAAAATTTGGTCTACTACATGCAAAGTCCACTACATGAAGGTCCAAATGAAGTTTCATTTAACCAGATTTGTAGAAAGGAAGAAGAGGATTAGATTACAGAAATCTTGATAACTGGATGTGTTTATTTAGCACCCAATTTATCTTTAAGTTCATTAGGGCAGAAATTTCTTAATTCTCCAATTAGCCATGCAATGGAGAGGTGACTACATCTTCTTTCCCAGGCTTTTGAGAAGCCTATTACAGCAATAATGTGTATGGAATGTGTATGTGTTTGAAAATGAATGTATCAGAGACCAAGGAGTTGTGTGTTACAGGGAAAATGGAATGAATTACTGAAAGTTGTATACACATGGTGAAGGAGAAAAAAAGGAAGTAGATGAATATTTCATACCTCAGGAGAAGATTCAGTAAAAATTGGAAAAATGAGAAATTTTAAGATGAGCAAATGCTGGCAGAAAGGTGGTGGTTAGTATGTGATATGTTGTGAGGAATTAATGTTGAAGGAAGTGAAAATGTCTGTGTGTAAGAGATACTTCTGCCTACTTTGTGGGAGTTGGGTATATCAGTAGAAACATAACAGTAAGTTAAATGCAGCAAGAATGGGTTACTGAAGAAGCATGTCTGGGTCAAGAATGAATGAGTGCTGGATGGATGTGGATAAAACAAAATGGAGAGGTATAGTGAATGCTATTGATATAAAATGGATTTAGTTAGATTACTTTATTCTTTTTTTCTTATCTCCCTGTCTTTAGTTTCTTTTGCCCATTACTTCTTACTTCTTTTCTGCAATTTACATAGCAACACTTACTCTAAAATAAGAATAGCATTATGGATATATTATGTGTGTACAACCAGGTTCAGTCATTCTATGTGTGTGTGTATGTGTGTGTTATTAGTAGAAAAACAGAATTAAAATATCACAACTTTTACTTGCATTTTTTTCTCATTTAGGCCCTGGCAAAAATAGCCAGTTAACAGAACAGCTGGTATTTTGGCTAAACTTTAACTTCCTTAACACTGCCAGATGTTTTGGCACCATTACAAGGGCAGCACTTGTACACATGAATATCACTAGGCTTTGCCTCTACAAAAGCAGAAAGAACTAATCCAACTGGAGATAAATAATTACGTCAACTGACTGCCATTGAGGCAGTTAAAAACAATTATATATTGGTCCATAGGATTCCTGTCCATTTTAGCAGAAATGATTAACTTACCAATACTACGTTTACAAACACTTACAAACACTTCCACCCTGAAGACTTTAATGACCCTCTGAGCAATCAGAGTGATTGCAGTAGTTCTTCCCCGGGCATTCCAGAGGGAAACATTAATGCTAAACCATATCATCATTCTACTGCCATATTTTCTTGTTTTTGTGTTTTGTTTTGTTTTCTCATCAAGTTCCTTTACTACTAAGAAACAAGCTTCAGGCTGGCTTTCACTCTTATTTTGTCTGCTACAGTGATCGTGGGAAGTCTAATCTGTTTCTGGGATATATCATAAATCTTGGATTCTCCAGATAAGGTTGAGTTTACCATTCCTCCCTTTATTAAGTTCCTTTATTTTTTGATATGGACACTAAGAGTAGGGTTCATGGCCTTTCTCCATTCAGGATTCATCCTCTATGGAATCGTTTTGCAAGACTCCTTTGAGTTGGCTTTTTTCCCTACCACCCCCTTTTTTCCTTTTATATTTATGTGTGT